CTATCCATTCTTTGGCCTCAACACTCCTTTCTATCAGTGATATTTTTGTTCGGAAAATAATTTTAGTTTTAGTTTTTATTCAGTTTAGAGGCAAAGTTTTTAGTTCTAGTTCTTATTCAGTTTAGTAAATAAATTTAGTTCTAGTTTTTATTCAGTTCATCTTAAAATAATTTTAGTTTTAGTTTTTATTTAGTTCAATTTTCGTTTGTCGTATAAATTTTTTATCTCATCTAATTATAATTTAGTATAATTTATAAATAATATAGGCATATATAATTAAAAGAAGTAAGTCTTAGTTCTATAAACAAACAAAAAAATGAGAACTTAATTAAATGTAATACACCCAGTCCCATGGCTAGAAGTTTAGAGCCCCGCCCACCGCCCATAATAAAAAACACAACAACAACCTGTCCTTATTGCTCTAAAACTTAAAAAAATTTCAATTATTACGTATAAAAAAAAATCCTCAAATTCGGTAACAATAAAAACTAATGAATAGTTATTATATAGACTTTAATAATTACTCATATTTTTTACAAATAAAGGGCCTAGTGATTATATGATTATCCTCTAGACTAGATGAGAATTTAGTTTTAAGAAAACTCGCATTTCCAATGACGCTGACATTCGATTTCTCCGTCCATTTGTGAGCAAGCCACAGATTGAAAAAAGTCTTTCAACATATGCTTGAGTTGCAGGAGCTGCAATGAGGTCTTCAGCTAATGGTGCAATATGCGGGTAAACAGCACGTCTCATCTTCCAGAAATTTAAAGCATTTTGGCACATAGACCTGTTCCTTATTTCAATAAAATATTTCTTGAGTTCATTTTGTGCTTCATTACCTGGATAAGCTTTATTTTTTCTACTCGCTGTTTTGCCGCTAAAAATTTCCATTTTGTTAATCCATTTATTTCTGGAGCAATCTCAACAGAAAGAGTAGATGCACTTGCTAAAGGTAAATCATGTTGCACCGATTTTTTAGCCTCTGACAAAATGTATTTTTTTGCACACTCTCTGATTTGTGTATGAACATTACCTAAAAGAGCTTTTGCACATGTAGGGTCAAGTAGACATGCGGCACATGGCAGTGGATTAAAATTAGGATCGTTTGGCTGCAAAAGAACGGCAAAACGACGGCGTAGATCTTCAAGCATTTTAGCTGCTACATATTTGGCATCTCCAAATTGCTCAAGGTGACATTCTAAATTAAGTATTCAAGGTATAACACTGGATAGTGAAAGTGCATCCGTCTGAAGAATATCAGTTTCATTGGCAAAAGGTTCTAAAAGATTGACAAAATCCTGAAGCATTATCCATTCGCTATTGGCAAGTAAATCAATGTTAAGGTCTCCAACACTTCGTTGATAGATGTCTTTATTTCCAGAAATCTCCGAACCATAAAGTAAGTGGTGTTCCATCTTGTAGAACAGTCGCTGATCACAGTCTTACCACATTTGTTGATAATTTTTTCCAATGCTACAGAAGATTTGCGAACTTTTCCCATTAATTCACGTACCTTCAAAAGTAAGCCATGATGTTTACCATCATATGCAAGTTTTACAACTAGCTGTATAACATGTGCAATGCATCCCAATCTTCTAAATGCTACGTTTTCTATTACATCAACTATCAAGTCAACATGTTTCCACTCTTCACTATTTGTCATATTCTCATCGTCTTCCAGATCTGTTATCTGCTCTTCATTAACCTCACTTTCTAATTCAATAAGTATATCACGTTCAGCTTGAGCTTTCATTCTCGACAACTTTATGCCTTTGACCATGTTTGCTCCATTGTCCGAAATAACAAGCAATATTTTTTCTCTGGAAATATTCCAATATTTTAGGCATTTTTCAAAACAATTAGCAATTTGTTCACCTTTATGTGGATGTTTCACAAGATACAAATTAAGCAGAGCATGTATTGGTTTTTCGGATTTGAAGTGAAAAAAACAAACCAAAATTCCTAAAAAGGACGCAGTAAGACCTTTTTTAGTCCAGCCATCAAGGCATATTGTGAAGCGCCTGCCTTCAGATATGAAGTCGCGAAGTTTTCTCGTTAAAACAGTAAATTCTTCATTAAGTAGGCTAGTAATTTTGGCAGAAACAGGCAATGAAAATTTATAATCCAAGGTATTAACTAACTTTCTAAAACTCGCATTATCCACCAATGTCACTGGATTACATGTTGCAATTATCATTTGAATAAGAGAGTTTAGTCGAATTTTATGCTCGTGTGAATTAATAGGCCATGCCGTATTCCTACGATTAATGCATTGAATCAAGGTCTGGTTCTGATTTGAGGACGATTCTAAAAGAGTGGGTCCATTTTCATCCACTGCTTTTCTCTTTATCCCTGTTTGCTTTTTTTCACTTAATTTCTTTAATTCCGACTCTTCCAGCTCAACGTGTACAGACTTATGGTTTCTTGCTAAATGTAGCAAGAAAAAAATAAACATACTTATATAATTTTTTGTTTGTATATTTATATGTTTATTTATCTATCTGTTTATCAATTAATGTATAAATAAGTTTGTATACGTTATTGAATAGTTACTCTAAAATGATAAAAATGAGTCGTTTGTTTCAAAATGAAAACATATCCTCTAACAGATAAACTAACTTTAAGATTTGTTGGGTTCTTTCCACACAACTTTGTATTGCATACTTTTTCACCATCAAGTAAAACTAAACATACTGATTTGACGGATGACGCATCGTATTTAAACCATTTCCATACTGAACTATTCTTCTTCCTACCAGCAAAAAGTTTACTCAAACTCATCGCGTAGTTGTGTTGGTCTTACAGTTTGATTTTTTTTAGTTCGAAAAAATATATTCGAATAAATATATTCGAACTATATTATAACTAAACTTATTCGAACTTAATTGAATAAAATTCAATTAAGTTCGAATAATATATCATTATAATGTATTGTAATATAATAATTATATATATCAAATAATTCAACTCGTTTCAAATCTAGAACAAAAATCTTTCGTTTTAAAATAATTTTCGATTCAGTTTTTATTCCGTTCGAAAATTTAAAATTATCGTTTTTATTCTGTTCTCGTTCTTAAAATAAATTTCGTTTTAGTTTTCGTTTTCGTAAACGAAAGGCTTTTTTTTTCGTTCTCTTTTTCGTTCTCGTGTACGAAAATATCACTGCTTTCTATTAAAAGGGTCCAATAAGTTTGCATTGCTGCTAAGCGTCAGACATAGTAAAATAAAAGTAAAAAATACAGCAGTTGTCGCCCTGCAGAAGAATTCAAAAACTACTGAGTGGTTAGATGAAAATGAAGTTAACGCAACTCAAAAAGACAATAATCTTTTAGTTCACGAAGCATTCATTACATACTGTTTCAATTGAAGATCACTTCAACAACCCATGAGAAGATGATGAGTGAGTGAATTTATATTATAGGTAAAGAATATTACTGGCTTAGTTTAATTAGTGTCTTTATTATTTGATAAGATATCAACTGTTATATAATATAATTTGTTAAGGTCTACTTACAATATAAATGTACAATTTAGCCAGACAAAAACTAATTGTGTTTACGCATTTTTTAAATGTTTTTTTAGAGTAGATTTTTTAGGTAGATGTAAAGGGAGAGTACAGAAACTGATATCATATGTTAGGAGGTTTGGACAAAAATTAACAGTTTGACAACGGGGTGTAAAATTTGAGAAAAAATTATTGACATCATTTATGGGCAGCCCCTTTACATTCTTTTTTGTCTTAATGTAGGGTGACTTTAGAATGAGTTGTCTGTATTTGAATACAAATTTATGAAAAATAGGAATAAAAAATGCTACCTTTTATTTTAGGTAGATCTGTTGGTAGAGACAAAATAGACTATTTTTAAATTGCCTTCAATGATGTCATAGATTTAAAGCAGCCGTGGCGCAGTGGTAGCGCACTTGCCTCAGAAACGTAAGATCCGTGGTTCAAACCCCACCTCTGGGCAAGTTTTGCGACATCGGTTGGGAAGGAGGCGTGAACTTCCTATTAAATGCTCTACCGCGGTGCTCTGTGATAAGACCGGTAAGGACTTCTTGGGGCACCTAAAATCAACTAAAAAAAAAAAAAAAAAACAAATAGACGAATTTTTATACCGCTTTAAAAAATAATATTATTTCAACAATTCTGAAACAGAAATAAAATTTTACATTGACTGAAATGTTTAGATTACTTATAGACAAATCTTTTACATGTATTCATATATAAACATGTTTTTCAACATTTTGCTTTAATAATCATTAGTTTTAGTTAATGAAGCTAATTAATCTTAACGATGTTAAACACACATAGTTTAGTTATCTGAAACAAAATCTGATAATGTCCATATATTTATACAAACATAAATATTTTTTTAACTGCACTAATGCCAATTCTGAAATGGATGCAATTTATAAAAGATGTGGACTTTGGGTGCCTATCTTCATAACGATCTATCTTCATAACAGTCATTCTAGCATAGTCAAGAAAGAAATATGTTTTCATCACTGTAAGTTCAGCATACTTTAATTTATTGCGTCTAAATATTTGATTGACATTGATTTAAAGTTTTCATTTAGTAATATACTATTATTCATTTTTGCAGGATTAAAATGTATTACTGCGCGAAATTACTCCTGGATAGAGTAAATGAGCACCCTTTTGTTTTTTTAGTTTTTTCAAGCCCTGGAAGTGGTCGAAGCAATTATTTATTAGACCATTAAAAACGTTACATTAAATCATACTCTACAAGTCTACACCTAATTATTTACAAAAAAAATATGCTTTTCGGGGTGCAGAGCTTAATGAGTTAAATGCAATAAGCCCGTGCACTACTGAAGAGATTTGTGTAAAAAATCTTGCAATTTACTATATTTTAGGGTTTCGTCTTTATATTGCTTGCAAAATTAAAATATAAAGTTTCAAATTAAATTCATTAAAATGTGTAAAAAAATTTAAAAAAATAAAAAAATTTAGCTCAACTAAAAAAAATACAAACCTTTTTTTCTAACTGAGCCGTAAAACAGACCATTGCCCATTATGTTGTAGAAACCCTAAATTAATCAAGCCAGTAAATTTATAAAAAGGTAAAATAACAAATATAATTAAAAAACAAGAAGCTAATACCAAAAAAACTGTTTTCATAAAAAATATATATTAAGGTAATATAAGCATGCCATGGTAATGCTGAATTAACATTAAAACTAAATTCAAAAAAAAAAATTTGTTCTAGTTATAATTGCTTTTAAAATGGTTCATTTAGTTACTTTTAATACTTTATCAGGTTTATCATAATTTTTTTTATTTTTGGTATTTGTATTTGCTTCAAAAACTTTCAGGATTCTTTCATAGAGTAGCCTGGCCATGGAAATATACTATGCTTCTTAATAATGTTTTCCTCTCTTTAATTTAATGATTCAAAGCATCATACAACAGTTTACCAATTTCCGATTTTTTATTTTTGTCAACATAAATTTTAATGAAATGTCAGAGGAAAGTTGTGTCTTGTTAATAAAGTGTTATTAAGTTGCTAAAACAAGAATCAAGACTACTTTTAAGAGTTGGTTTATAAAATAGAGTTGGTTATTTAAAATACAGTTGGCTGTTAAAAATAGAAAACACAACAAACATTGGTTTATAAAATAGAGTTGGTTATTTAAAATACAGTTGGCTGTTAAAAATAGAAAACACAACAAACACTATCAAATCAAATATCATTTCAGATTCATTTTTTGTTCGTAATTTAATTTCATTATTGAATTATCGATGTTAGAATTCAATTATAAACTTAATTGTACCTTTTTAACACAATAATTTTTTAAATTTTAACTTCGCAAAAAGATCTATCATAAGCAACATTGAGTTCTGCACTCCATTATATAATGGTCCATTTAATGACTTTTCTGAACTCAATTTTTATGTCTTTTTGAAAATAATTCTTTTTTTTGTTTGGGGATCGTTTAAACATTTTTACAACCTTCCTGACTTCTGTTTTAACGGGTCCAACAATATTTATGCCTAATTTTATGTTCAGATGTTTCATAATTTAACAATGATCCATTTAAATCTTGAATTTAATTTTCTTCTTCAGAAAATTATATCTATTTTAAATAACAAAAACAAAAGTTTATTTATTTGAATAACTTCATTAAATAAACGGACATTAAATAAACTTTTTTAATTTTATAAATATTCTGTATTTTGATAACTTCATTAATTTATGTTAAAAAGATTTTTTTAAACCACGCACACATTTGAGTTTTGACTTAAAAAGTGAATTAAAATCACACACACATTTGAAATTAGAATGAATTAGAAAGTTACCACTAACAACCTATCAGAAGGTTATCGGATTGCCATTTATGGCGGCTGGCATTAATGGTCCACTAAGTAATCGATGATCAAAACTCTAATTAACAGTATTTTATATTTTTTATTTAGCGCGTGACGTTTAAATTATATTTTCAAAGTTTGTTAGATTTTTTTTTTTGCACATTAAGAAGCTGCTAAACAAAAGTTAAATTCTACGTTTATGAGTGCTATATATAGTCATATATACATATGACACGCAGCTTTATATAGACATATATACATATGACACGCAGCTATATTTAGTCATATATCAAAAATTTTGTTTTTATGGTTAAATTATCATTGTTTTTTACAAATGCTTATTAGTGATCCCAGAATATTATAAAACCTCATGATAGTGATTGTAAAAATAGAGAAAGAGATGCAACTTTACGACGATGAAAAAGAATAGAATTAGCAGATACAGCGGGTCCAATAACAATGCGTTTTTGAACCTTGTGAAGAAAAGAATGAGCATCATTGGGAGAACCAGTCCAAATATGATAACAGTGTTTCTTACAGGGACTAATAAGAAATTTGTAGAAGTAGCAAACTGAACTAAGAAAAAGGAAAAGGGCGAGCACTATAAAGAGAAGCAATCTTGGCGGGTACTAATTGAGCAATCAATTATATATATGGTTTCCAATAATAGTCATTAGCTATAAATAACTTAGTTTTATAGGAGTTCAAATTTACAAGCCATAGTGAGCTCGAATCTGTTACAGAAGTGAGATCAAATTCAAGATCAGCTGCCTGCTTTAAGCAATTGAAAAGAGAAGACTTTTTGTCAAAACAGTTGTATAAAGTTGTCATTATCAAAAAGTGATACTTTTGATGTAAGGTTGTTCGGAAGATCGATAATGTAGATAAAGACCAAAAGAGGATCAAGGATAGAATTTTGAGGTACCCCAGTAGTTACTGAAAATACAGAGTGTTGGCTTTTGAGAACCATTTTAATTAAGTGGTTATAATGAAATGATTTATTAATCTATAAAGTTTCTCAGACTCGCTATATGAAACAAGCGATGGAAAAAATTAGCATGCTAAACTTTGTCGAAATTGTTACGTATGTCAAAAGCCTTAGCTTCTTTGCCTCCATTAAACGCACAATAATTTAAATCAAAAATAAAAAGCAAACTTTTTTGTTATTGCGACTTGTTTATTTTGTTCGGACTCCTAAAACTCTATAATTTTATACAAATATGATTACAAATGACAGTATGATTACAAATGTAATCGTACTGTCAGTATGATAACAAAGATTATCATACTCAGTAAATGTAACCATACTGTCAGTATGATTATATTCACTGAATATAAATACAATATAAATATATTCATACTCAGTATTGCAAAAAGTAACGATAAGACCCCCCCCCCACCTTTTTTTTATTTACGTTGTTGGTTATAATTAAGAATTTCACACTGATAAAGAATCGTATAAAAATTTAAGTATAAAAATCAACAGAATGTGCTCTTATTCGGTGTTGAAGTTTAAAAAACTACACTAAAAGATGCTAACGTCCGCCTTTTTATAAAAATGTTTTACTCCAATGCTTGCTTTTTGTTGAAAAAATTGCTCCCGCCGTTAAAATTAAATTTTATTTAAAATAAATATTTTTGTGAATATATATATATATATATATATATATATATATATATATATATATATATATATATATATACATATATATATTTAAAAAATTTTAAACTTAATATATTGATATCTATTTTATAAACTTAATATATTGATATGGCACCAAAAGTTGATTATGGTTCTAGAAAATAGCTTGAAAATTTAATTACCAGAGTGTCAGAATTAGAGGGTAAAGGCATTTAAAACTTGTCGAAAATTAATAAACTGACGAATGAAAATGTTTTATTAACAGCACGAGTTAAAATATTAGAAAAATATTAGAAAAAAAAACAAACCAAAGAGCATTTTAGTTTGAAGTTAATTATTTAATAATAAGAAGTGGGACAAATCTACAGAAGAAATAAAAGTAACATAGATTTAAGTAAAGACGTAAGTAAAAGAGATAAAAATATCATTGTTTTTGGAATACCAAATTCAACCGATATGGATACTGGAAATAGGAAAACATTTGATAAAAATATTCTTAAAAACCTTTTTTCTGAAATAAAAGTTAACCCTGACAAAATAAGAAGAATTCATCGTATCAAAAACACAAATGAAAGTAATGCAAAAATGGAAACAAGTACACCTTTGTTGGTAGAATTACCTAATAGTTCAGATAAATTTGCAATATTAAAAGTTGCCAAGCAACTATAAGATTCTGAAATTTTTAAAAAGGTAACTATTTATCCAGATCAGAACGAATTAGAAAGAAAATTTACAGAGCTTGATCTTAAAAAGAAATAAACTAGAGGAAGAGTTAAATTTGAAATGCCAGTTTAATAAGCCCTTTCGATTCGGAATCAGGAATAATGAAGTCAACAAAATCAAAATAGTCAAAAAATAAACCAAACGGATAAGAATGATATAAATCAACATATGAACTCCAATGATAATATTTCTGTTTGCCAACCATGTGATTCTTTGAACATTGAAACAATGCTTGCTGATTCAAATATTAATAGTATAGAAGTTCATTTAAGCAGAAATTTTTTAAACTGTTTTTATACAAACACCACACCACTGAATAATAAATTTGATGAGTTAATTGAAGAAATAGCTTTTAATCAGATGCAAATTATTATACGCTTTGTGAAACCTGGTGGAATGATAACTCAGCAACAAATATTGAAGGTTTTAACTTGTTTAGAAAAGATCGTGGACATATTAGAGGTGGAGGAGTCTTTATATACATAAAAAAACAATAAAACTTTACCCTGTGGCTGAAAACTGTTTAGTTGAAAATGTCATTGAACAAATATGGTGTTCATTTGAGATTGGCATGGAAAATATCTTATGTGGATGCATATATAGAACAGGTGCTGGTGATATATCAAGTTGCCAGAAATTACCTAAATCTATTCGACATGCTTATAAAGCTTGGAAAATGGTAAATACACAGGAACTCTAATTTGTTGAGTTTTCAATTTTCAAAATATAAAATGGTTCAACGATGGTTCATGTAAACATGAAAATGATTCAGATTTGACCTTCTTAAAATATATCGACTTTCTAAATGTTTGCTTCTTATATCAAAATGTCTTGTTGCCAAAATTTTAAGTTAGCTCTGGGTTTGACACAAATTTATTAGACTTGGTCCTAGCAGAAAATAGAAATCGGGTTTTTTCATTGAATTACTTACCTCCCCTTGGTGAATCGAACATGGTCACCACATATTGAATTTCAAATATTATTATAAAAACAACAATATTGATCAAAAACCAAAGATAAAAAAGTTATTATATATTAAAGGAAATTATGAAAAACTTTCAAAATATTTCTCAAGTTTTGATTGGGAAAATGAGATAAAAGATTTAAATGCTATTCAAACTTATAAAAAACGGCAAAATATATGTCATACTGGATGCAGTAAATTTATTCCAACTATAAATTATGATACAAGTAAAAAATATGCTCCATGAATGACTTAAGAGCTTTGAAAATTGGTTAAGTTAAAGAAATTATTATGGTATAAATGCAGGCATTCAAAATTTAAAAAAACTGACATGGTAAACAACTATAAAATATTAAACAAAAATGTAAAAAAAAGACTTAAAAAAGATATAA